TGAAAAATAGACCGAGACCCGGCAAGGCGCTGTAGGTCAAGTTGATGAGAAGCAGGACCATTGTAATGACAATGTTAAGTGGTGAGCCCCAGAGAAGGTGGAAGAAGCCGCTAGCCGTATCGATGCGGTAGGTGTCTGTTGACATGAGGTTGACAATGCGACCATTACTCCATCCGCTCTCTCCTTCGGACTTGGTCTCAGGTTGTTTCGGCTTGTCTTGCTTCTTCTTAGTTCCCAGTAGCTTCTTGTACCACTTCTTCTCCTCGTCGCTGCCAGGAGCTACATCGCTAGGTGGGAGTGCGACATCGGATGAACCACCGGCCTTGGCGCGTCCCGAGATCTTCATAGCCTTGTCAAAGATGACAGACATCAAGACGGCTCTTGCCTCGCCGCCTACCGTCATGCCAAAGTACAGGAAGTGGTTGATACTGAGCGTCATGACGATCTGCAAAAACGTGATGATGATGACGAGGCCGACACCGTATCCGATGTCCGGTGCTGCCGAGCCGTTCTTGGCCGCATTGTAGGCCTCAGTCGCGAACGCAATCAGGTACTTCAGTAGGAAGGGCGAAATGGTCGATGCCACGGTGCTGCCAAGCTGGCACAGCGCGCCGAGGACAAACTCCTTCTTGAAGGTGCTGAGAAGGGCGCGCAAGAGAGGGCGCGAGCTGCCATTTGCCGTGTGCCTCTGGAATGCGGCGCGAAACTTGACTTCGAGAACCTCGGCGCTTCGCTCAGGGTTAACCTCCCAGATATCGTTTTGTTCCAACGGCCGCTGATAGCCAACCTGCAACCTTTTGTCAGAATCATTGCGAGTACTACTTCAAACCATCTCAACCTACATGCATGAGAGGAGTGACCCAAGTGAACAACATTCTGCTGAAGAATCCAGCTCCTGCCTCTAACGATGGCTGACGCCTGTCAGGAACTAGGGGCACATATTTCGTCTTGAGTGGGTTGAGACGCTGTAACCCGTTGCGCTGCTTTCTTCCCGATGTCGAAGCAGACTCCGAAGATGGTTCTGTTGACGATGCGTCGATGTTTTGCGCTTCGACCTGGCCGGCAGGTTGCTGCTCGGAGCTGTAGATAACGCCGGCGTTCTTCTCGCCTTTGCTGGGCTTGCCGAGGAGCATGGTGAGGAGGTTGATCCACCGATCGATGTGTGCGCGCCAAGAAATGGTACTAGGTATTATTGATGGACCAGCCTATCCTTCGCCTGATCAACAGCAACAACCTCGAGCAGGAGAATCAGAGGAATAACAAGCAACATGGAGCGAGACGACTTGGCGAAATGAACCCAGAGATAAACCGACTGTTTCTCGGCGCCCCAGCCTGTCAAGGCGATCGCAACTGCTCCACACTTGGCGCCGGCCATTGCGACAGGGTTACATGACGACCGTTCGATGCGAAGCACTAACCCTTGAAAAGTTGCATTCCGGCGGTCGCGCTTACGCGTTGCGACCCGTCCATTTGGAGCCGGGATGACGCCGTGGGGCCGATCGATAGCGGCATCACACCCTGGTCGGCTTCGCCGTTTCAATACGGTTTGGCCGTCTTTCACCACTGTCAGTACCACTGCTCTGGAATCGATGGAACACCCCTTGATGCACCGTTGCGTAGATTTTGTGCTTCATGGCTAATCAAAGCGAACTTGAGGCAACGGAATTCACCTTTTCTCAGTTCTTCTGGCTACGCGTAACTTACGCGGATGACAGACTGGATATATTTTGTCATAAAACGATGTCCATCGAGCTCCATGTTGTTTCAAAGTGCTGATGTTACTCTGCACTGATGATGGTTTAGAACCTCAAATAAGGCTTTCTAATCAAAGAAAGCCGCTTAGTAAAGACAACGGCAATTTTCAAGTTTTCAATCAGCACTACCTATTTCAAGAAGACAACTTCGGAGGGCCACTCAGTCGCGTGTGCGGACCCATGTTGCGATCTCGTCGTAACCCCACACTGCAAACCTTCCGAACCACGAAGTCGATACCATCACAAACCTCCAAGGCAGGCTGAATTTTGATCCTTTACCGGATGTGATGCGTCAGTGATGTTGAATGTTTAGATGAATGAGAAGGTGAAGCCCAAGGTTTAAAGTCGTTCGTGCTCTCAAAGCCGCAACGTCTAATCACGACTTTGGGGTTCTCTATGGCTCGGCAGTATACTGCGGCGAACAATTCACCGTTTTCGCGTCCCAAAAGTGCCAAATAATTCCGTCCACGCGTGCTGGCTTGGTACTCCGGCCACGTGTGGAGCCCCGCGCAGGAGGGTAGCGTATCTGAGGGCAACTTTGAGACAATGCATCCATTGTAGACATTCTCTTTTATGGGATTGACGTGTTGTTGTGAGTCTTGGATGCTCAACATCGCCCTCAAGTCTTACGAACATGAGAGCCGACAAGGACAACAATAGGAACGACGACGATAGGGACGACGACGATAGGAGCAACTGCGATGATCAATACCAGTAAACTAAAAATAGAAAATAGGATATAAGTCTCTGGTAGCATAGTCGGTTTGCTTCGGAAGACTGACATAACTTTACATTTAATTATTATGTAGTCAATTTGCCGCAGAAAGCTAAAGCTTGAATTTCAGTCGAGATGAGCTTCAGAGTACATAGTGTAGCGGCCACGGTACACAAGCAGTATGCACAGACCTAAGCTTGAGAAGAGCAAGGCAAATCACTCTCAGGTGAAACTTCTGTAAGATAGAGCACTTGTTATTTACCAACGAACTCTGGCCCATGTGCCCGTTGATAGATCGCAAATAAAGACATCCGCCAAATTCTTGAGAGGGCCGAAGGGGCCTGCGATTGGCGATTCCACCTTGGCTGTTTGAGCGAATCTTCGCGCCCGCCAAGTCCCCGCAGGACATGGTCCAATTAACCCGGGCTTTTTCAAGTGCACTCATCATACTTTCACATTGATTGCTCTCGAATGCTGGCTCCGTAAAGGCCTGAGTGGGTCGTCTGATTTAATCTTCACCTACGAGTAGTCGCAACGAGGTGATGTTCTTCTGCGGGGTCGGCGTTCCGCGACAGCTTTTCGAAAATGGTCGCGCTGATCCGACACAAGACTAATTTTGTCAGTGATCTGCAGCCTGAAAGACATCACACTGCGCGATGCAGCATATCAAGAAGGCTCGCTTTGGTTCCTCCCTGTGCACTCTGTAGTCGATAACACGTTCTGTCTCTTCGCGGAACTTCCACTTAGAACTATTGAGCGAGACTACATTGTCATGACGCAATATACACTGCATACCTCGTCTTTGTATGACCCTCTAGTCAAGCAGGTTCGCCAAAATGTCTCCATTACCGTGGACTCGGCAACTGGCCTTATTGTTCGTGTCTTTGAGCGAAACGACGAGGAACAATCATTTTCGCGAATTCTGCAGGAGCGAGACATAGACCTGCGAGGGAAGTATGTGATGCCTGGGCTCGTGGATGCGCACACACACGTGTTTTTGCATTCATATGAGTGAGTCGATCCATCCTAATCTGGCTCATTTTTGATTGTACTGATTGATATCTATAAGTGAAGCGGGTGCTCTCCAACAAAAGCGAGACGAGAGTATGACAGAACGAGTTGTCCGTGGAGTCAATCACTGTCGGACGGCTTTGCTTGCAGGATACACGACTTACAGGTACACGGTTTCTTCTGGATGCCTCCAATAATGCCTGAACACTCGTACTGACTGCTTTTGTTTCTGCAACAGAGACCTAGGGTCGGAGGGAATGCAAGAATGTGACGCCAACCTACGGGATGCCATCGCTCGCGGGCTTACCCCGGGGCCACGCTTGTTCGTGGCAACCAAGGTGATTGCCAGCACCGGTTCCTTTGAGCCGCGCACTGAGAACAGCGCCGGTGGCCACTGCCTCCTGGCTGGGGCGGATGCTGTTGATGGTGTCGAACAATGCCGAGAGACAGTCCGTCGACGGATTGCCGCGGGAGCAGATGTTATCAAATTCTTCGCTGATTACCGCCGGAGAATCATGAGATCGCCCCATGCGCAGCAACATCCCTACATTCCAAGTGTTTTGCATTCCCCCAAAGAACCTAACCCTGATTACTTAGTGTTCTCTCAAGAAGAGATGAATATGATCGTCAAAGAAGCTGAACTAGTGGGCGCCCCAGTGTCAGCGCACTGCTGCACATTGAAGGGCGCATTGGCAGCCATCGAGGCTGGGGTCAACACCATTGAGCATGTCTACTTTGGCAACGACGATATGTTTATGCGTATGATTGACAAGGGTGTCATAATGGTGCCCACTCTTGCGATTGCAGAAAAGCTGCATGCCCACCGGTTTGACCAGATATTAAAGCAAGTCAAGCGGGCGCACGACCTTGGAGTTCGCCTAGCTTGTGGCGGTGACACGGGAACCTATCCGCACGGCGACAATGTTCGGGAGCTGGAGTTGATGATCGAGGCTGGTATACCAGTAGTTGATGTGTTGGAATCCTGGACTGTTGGGGGCTGGGAGGCATGTGGAGGAAACTTATGCGGGCGGCGATTTGGATGGTTCGCAGAGGGCCTGCAAGCCGACATTGTGGCATTTGATGAGGATCCTGAGAAGAACAAACAGGCTCTCAGGTCTGTCAGCTTTGTCATGAAGGATGCAAAAGTGTGGAAGGAGGGGGGGATAGCACGCGACATGCACTAAGGGAAATGAACTCCAATCTGAATCTTGATTTTATGCGCTCCGATGCATTCGACCTACCCTACTCTGACTCTATCTTTACAGTTATTTCGAAGTCGTATTGAAGTGTTCATAACGGGCTCTCAAACGGTCCTAAACGACGATGACAACGACAAAGATGCCGACAACGACGATAAGGATGATGATGGCAATGATGACTAAGAATAGAACGAGGCGATGCTTTACTATTGGATTGCTCTATTAAGTTTTGCATTCCGCGTCTACGTGGCTTTGCTTGCTTTGCCACCTTCCCCTAGATAGCGAACATCCCTGAGACCAACGTTCCTAGATGCAACTACTTCACAAGAAGAGGGGTTCTGCGTTGTCTCCGGTAACGAAATCTGTCAGGCTCTCATGCGCATTCTTGAGGCACTCTTCGACCATCTCCGGGTCTCTGGGAGTGAATCTGAGTTTGAATAATGAGGGGATGGCATTTGATGCAGTTGAGTCCTCCTTGTAGTCGATGTAATGGATATTCGGGGGCATTTCCTTGCTCTCTGTCATCTTGAAGGAGAGAATCAAGCGAACAAATACGCTGTACAGCATCCGGTTTGCGAAGTTAACGGCCGTACACATTCGTGCTCCAGCACCATAGGCAAAATGGTACGGGGGAGGTATCTCGCATCCTGCTTCTATCCATCGCTCCGGGCGGAACTCCTGAGCGTCAGGGCCATACGTCTCTTTGTCCAAGTCACTGGTCAGCCAGCGACAACCCATCTCATTTTCAAGCAGAAATCGTACCAAAATTGACGGCCTGGTTATTGATGTAGATAAGCATCCCTTGAGGAATGGTGGCTCCCGCATAGGTGAAGTCTTTATGGACCTGTCGGGCTGGGAGAATCTTATGGGGCGGGTAAAACCGCAAAGCTTCCTTTACCAAACCGGAGACGTATTGGCTTTTCTCTTCGAGAAGGCACTGCTCAAATGCTTTCTCATGTGAACCGTAGGCACCTATCATGTCTGTGTACGCCTTGTTCTGTACCTCTTGTCCCCAGGGCGTTGACAGAGCCCCAAGAGTGATGATGACGGTCGAGTAGATGGTTTCGAAGCCGCCAGACATCAGGCCGCCGAGGATTGTTTTGATGTCAACTATTGACGTTAGCGTTAGCCGTTCGCGAGAATTTCGCTCGTTGAATATTACATACCCTTTGTGAGGCCATCATGGTTGTCTTCAAGAAGCATTTCAGCCACGCATTTCTTCTCACCCGATCGCAATCTGTTGTGGCTGTTCTGAATATTACTGAACATAGTTGCAAGCCAGCTATCTCGTCGGTTTCGAACTTCCTTTGCAGTGGTCGTGCGTCGGTTGGTGCCTAGGTACCTCAAGTGAGGAATAAAGTCTTGGGGATTGGAGTTTGTGGATCGGAAGCTGTACTGGATTAACTCTCGTGCTCTTCTGGGGCACTGACTAAACCGATCTCACCTTGCGATTGTTTTTGCGTCTTCGAGAATCTGGAGAAGCATTGGATCTTCAACCGAGTTGAATCGAGTACCATAGCAAAGCATCATCATAAGATTGAGAGAGAGACGCTTCTGATACACATGAGGCATGATATCAACTGCCCCCTTCAGGCTGTCGTAGTAAATCCTGGAGATGACGGCGCATGTCTCCATATGCAGCATTCCGTGCATCTTCTTCATTGCTGGCCCAGTCGTGAACGAGCCAACAACCCGCCTCTGCTTCTTGGTCCTCTCATTCCACGGAGATGTGCCAATGGTTGCCGCTTTGAAGACCTAAAGTCAGCATCATTTCTGGGCTCGCTGCGCTCATACGTTCAAGACCTTCACTAACCGGATGTCTTTGAAATAACTCCGTGAAATGTGTAGAACCATGGCCGGTCGATGGTGGCTGACTGATTCTGAACCAGCCATTTTCGGGCTGACTCAAATGAATTGATCACAATAGCCCGTCGGCGTCCCATTCTAAACTGGAAAACAGGCCATCTATACTTGGCAGACCATGACGCTGCCGTGGTAGCATGGTCGTGGCCCAACTGAGGTAGATGGCCAGCCAGTAAGCTCCCGCCAGGGATCTCAGGAATGCCCTTGACTTCGGGGAAGTCCACATAAAAGAACTTGAGACACAACAACAAAACTGCCGAAAAGCTGACAATTGCTAGGCCGAAGAAGGCCACGGTCGTGTGCATGCCAGTCGTAAAAGGAAGATACATTGCACAAGCGTATCATTCAGGCCTCACGGTGTCCGTATCCCAGTGAAGAAAGATGACGATGAGTGTTATATGCGTCTAGTCACGTCAAGTCCCAGCGAGCACGCCTAGAACCATCTGTGGAACAGCCTGTCAACTGTACGTACGTATCGACAAGGGTGGGTGATTCGGGTCTTGGGCAAGACCTTCTGGATCGGCGCATTGCGTCGCTTATCCCAGCTTTGTCGGCTATCTCCGAGGCTCATTGTCGCACTCGTCAGCCCCGAATTACGCAGACGTCTCGTGATCCTAGAGGGTGGCATTTGCTCCTACTTTGGGAAAGTTTTGCGGCGAGCCGGTATAAAGAAGACATGTCTTGAATTGATAGACGCATTCAAATTCTCCTTTGCCAGGTTGAACGGCACTGCACGGCGCCAGCATTCCAGTTCTCCAACATGGCGAGTCTACACATCAGTGAACTATTTGACGTCGCCGGCCGATGGGTTGCAATCACTGGTGGGGGTGAGAACCCTCTCATGCTTTTCACACGTGTAGACAGATTCGGTTCTCAGACTGGCATCATCAGCCTCTGGCATTGGACATATGCTGGCGGGAGGATGCGTTGTCAATGGGTCCAACGTCATTCTCATAGACATAGACGAGAAGGCGCTTGCAGATACCAAGACCGAACTTGAGAGTTTAACGACATCTTCAAACTTAGATGTCGAAGTGGTGATGTTCGTCCCACTCACTAGTGCCCCAACCTAAGCACCCGTTGACCCTGCTGGCAGAATTCGTGGTGATCTTTCCAGTGAAGACATGGTCAAAGATGTTGTTTAGTCAATCAGATCTATGTGACGCTGTTCGCTACATGAACGACATTACGTACACTCCAGGCGACAGTCTGGGTCAACTCGAGGCCGCGACATTATCAGCGCCGTACAAAGCCTGGGAACATGCCTTTCGCTTGAATGTCCTTGCACCATATTATTTAACGGCCGGATTAATCAGTCTCTTGGGCTCAGCAGCCGCACAAGGAGACGGACGGGGCTGCGTTATTTTGTTCAGCAGTCCGGCCAGCGTGCATAACAACCAGTTTGTTCCCTGCTACCAAACCTCCAAGGCTGCCGTGGATCATCTTGTCAGAATCATGGCGGCCGAGTTCGCAAACTTCTACAGTAAGATATTGAGCACCGTAACCTTACCATGCGTCAAAGGCCTCGCTGACTCTGTAGTTCGTATCAACGCCATGTCTCCTGGGATTGTGCCCTCAGGAATGACTCCCGACGACGGCACTTCCAATCTGCGCTTAGCAGGCGAGACTCCGGCCAAGCGGGCAGGAAACGAAGAGGACATGGTCGGGTGCGCGCTTTGGCTAATGCGCAAGGCAGGTGCTTTCATGGACGGAAAGGTAGTTCGAGTTGAAGGCGGAAGGTTGCTTATTCTTAAAGGCGTCACTTCCAACTCAGATTAATCATTCAATTGATACCTCAGCATCAAATAGCACGTTATCACGTGGCAGTCCCCAAACAGGTCATCTTCGTGCACGAATAGGTGGTTTAAGGTTTGAGCATGAATACAATAAAGCAGGCGATTTGCTGCTTGCCCCGTAAGGATGCAAATAGAAAAGGAAAAAGGACAACAGCATTATCCTGAACTAGGTTTCGCATTCTACTGGAACGACAACTCCTTCTCTTCTTCCCATCACATAGCGTACCTGAAGTAAGGATTCTCCAAATCTGTCGTATCCCGCTTTCCCAACTCACTGCCGAGCCGCTTCTGTTCTTCCTCCGAGATGTCACTCTCAGCCAGAGCCCGGTCTCGGCGCCTATTTTCTCTCATGTACCAAAGCCTCCAGCAGATGATGACCAAGATATGAGAACCGAAGCAGGCAGAGTACGCGATTGTGCCACCGACATAGCGATGGGCATCTTTGGTTTGGAAAACCTGAGCACCGACCATATTCCCACCACAGTATGCAATCAGTGTCATGGACGAAACGACTGTTCTTTTCGTCGTCCCTGCAATGTTGGAGGTGACTAGATAAAACTGACGTCAGATAAGTCGACCATTTGGGAGAGAAGACCTACTTTAACTCCATCCGAGGAACAGTGATAGAGAGAAGACCACATTGATGTCGAACATGCCCCATTTGAGCCATTTGTGCTCAGGTGTGTTTGGCATCAGAGACATCACTAGCATACCAACAAAAGGTAAGATACGTGAGATGATCATGATGAACATGCGTTGATTCTGGAATTTCCGGAGGTACCAGGCGACAAGGATGAAGACAACAACGTAAATAAAATAGCTGGTTCCGAGTCAACTTCGTGTTTTTCTCCTACCCACGTAACCATCCTCTGAACAAAAGGGGGAGTGAATAGGAATAGGGAGGATAATACCATTACGGGGCAAACCCCAAAGCATAGATTGCCATGTGTCGAAACCGAAGGTGACATAGAGTAGAGAGCTGAAGGTGGCAATGCCCCTGCGACGTTGAATCGTTAGCTTCGTCAAATGCAGCGAAGCTGTTCAACCTACCCGTTGGGGATGCATGCTAGAAAAGTATTGAAAAAGCCGAAATACACCTGCGGATCCTTGAAGCACTCCCGGACGTGATCCCAATTCCATGCTTTGTTGGCGGTTTCCTCTCCAATTTGGTTCTGGCTGACTCGCGCGATTCTGCCGCTCGTTAGTGTTGCACAAGACATGATGATATTAGAATACCTACGCCATTCTCTTCTCATCTTCGGTCAGCCATGGACATTCTGGGGCATCCCAAGGACAAAATAGCAAAAACTGGAACCGGTGAGGGTGAGCCCGCCAAGGAAGAGGGAAATGGTGCGCCAAGCTGCAATGTCGCCCTTTGACACAGCGTGTCAGGCGATTCCGTACAAGATCAGGTTACAAGTTATTGTGAAGAAGCCTTGCGAAGATTGCCAGAACAGGGAGCGCTGGGCGTGTTCAGACGTGCGATACCATGCGCCAGTAATTAGGAGAAAGCCAGGAGAGATGTTGCATTCGAAGAAGCCCTGAAGGGCGCGGAGCGCCATCAACTGGGCCCAGTTGTTGCATGCGCTGATGCAGAGGAGACAAATGGCTTGCAGCTTGTCAGCAACTTTGTCTTTGGGGGCATGAATCTTTCTTACACCAACCAATCATGTACGCGGTCAGAACACGACCGAGGTTGTACCGCTGCAGCAGCCAAGTGGACGGAAACTCGCCGAAGAGGTACGTGATGTAAAAGCTAATGACTTGTGTGAGAAGCCAGCTCGGATGCAGAGGTGGTGTTCTTACATGGTTGTCAACCACTGGTACTGCTGTCCATGCAGTCCCAGCTCGGTGTTCACGCCAAAAAGCTTCGTTGCGTTAGTGAGGCCGATATGAGTAAGCCTTTGGAGTCAAGAGTTGAAGACATACCGCCTGAATACTGATGGACGTCTTGTCGGTCTGTTGGATGCCATACATGAAGAACCCGGTGTTGGCGTTAGCATGAATACGGGTGATACATCAAGCAGAACAAACTTACATGGTTGGAATGAGATATCGGTCAATCTTCCGCGTCAACTTCTTGTAATCCTCCTCCGTGTACTCTTGAGTTCAAGTTAGCGTTGATCTACACTTCCAAACGATATCAAAAACTTCTTACCTTCCGAATGGCCCATTTCAGTGATGGTCACTGGCTCGATCCCAAGGTCCTTCTCGTCGTCCTTGGAGCCATCCTTCGATTCAGGTCGAGTCGTCGACGGCGGGCCAGCACTTGGAGAAGCCATTGGGGCCCACCTGTGCAAGAAGAACGGCGATGGATTGCTGACTGTTGTGGTTGTTTGGAACTAAGCTGGTAGTTCGCAGTTGTCATTCCACAGAGCATGCACAGATGAAGTGTTAAATGCGGAGAGGCCTTGGGTCAAAGCATGCCGGGATGTTGGCTCCCACCGGTGACCCGTTATCTCGGAAATGTTGGTACTAGCCAAGCGCTAGAGATAAAGATGAGGCCGCGTTGCCAGGATTCTTGTCAAGCCAGAAATCAGTGTATCTTTCTCGATGAACCGACGGCCTGAGCCAGGAGCCAGACCGCGCCCAATGGACTGATGCATATGTCCCCTTCCTGAGAGACTATCCGTATCGCCCAGTCAACCGAGCACTTCGGTGTTTCCCGTGGATAACTTCAAAAGTTGCAGGTATAACCGAAGGTCCCCGCCCCCAAGGCGGGGGTGGAGCAGTTGTGGGTATTTATTCTGCGGAGATGTGCTTGGGTGGTATTTCCATGCAGCATTGACGATAACGGAGCATCCGTTTCCTGGCTATCGAGATAACGCGAATATGCTTCCGGCGGAAGTATTCTGATCATAATTAGTAGAGTATAATAAAGGGGTGTGTTACTCTCAATATCATCGCTGCCCTCTTATCTCCCATTTGATACAAGGATGCACAGTGTCAGAGCCGATATGGAGGACCAAAGCCCTATCCCCGTCGGTAACTCGACCGAGCCTTTCTGGAGAACAGAGCTCCACGAGTTAGACAGTCATCGCAGCACCGAGCATCTTCCTGCCGAGTGCGATGTTTTGATCATCGGGGCTGGGTTTGCTGGCACTGCTCTGGCCCACTATATTCACGAAGACAACCTCCTTTCCCCCCCATCTGTAGTGATTCTGGAGGCTCGAGAGGCGTGCTCAGGTGCCACAGGGTGTAACGGCAAGTTTATCCCCACTTCCTTTTCTCCCTAAAACTCACTCAGGAAACCATTCCAGTAGCCGATAACAAGAGATCTGACTCCACGTCTAAGGCGGTCAACTGAAGCCTGATGTTTACTTCAATATACCCAAGTACATCGAGAAATATGGCGTGGAAGCCGCGGTTGAGGTTGCCAACTTCGAGGCTTCACAGGTCTTTGCAGTGAAAGAACTCGTAGAGAAGGAGAAGATAGACTGCGACTTCACTCTGACCAGGACCTGCGACGCCACTGTGGATGAGGGTCTCGCTACCGCAACTGAGGAGGCGTTCGCGAAGCTGGTCGAATCCGGGGGGGCTAATGTCAAGGATGTACATTACACACCTCGGGCGCGGGCTGAAATGGTAAAGACTCCCTATCCGCACGTTGTTGAGCTTGGGACGTTGAGAATTGCTAATCAGAAGAATCAGGTTTCGGGCGTAAAAGGGGTCCTATCGTCCTTCACGTTCACGGCGGGCCACATTTGGCCGTATAAAATGGTTATGCACTTGCTGGAAGGCGTTGTACAGAAAGGGGCAAACCTCCAGACTCATACTCCTGTCACTCATATCTCAGAAAATCTCCTCCTTGACGGCCGCTGGGAGGTATCCACGGCGCGAGGAAGTATCAAGGCTAAGAAGGTTTTACTGGCTACCAACGGATACACTTCACACCTGGCCCCCGAGTTCAAGAACTATATCGTGCCCGTACGAGGCATCTGCAGTCGCATCGTTGTGCCTCAAGGGAAAACAGCACCCTACATGTCGCAGACCTACAGCATCCGACACGGACCGTCAATGTACGACTACCTTATACCCAGAAGCGATGGTAGTATTTTTGTCGGCGGCGCGAAGCCGACCTTCTGGACCGATCGGTCCCAGTGGTACAATGTTTTCGACGACAGCAAGCTCATTGAGCCAGCAAAGACTTATTTTGACGGGTTGATGCAGAGGACATTTCGTGGGTGTGAGAACAGCGGTGCTTATACTGACAAAGTCTGGACTGGTAGTAAGTCAAACTTCAGGAACGATGAACACTACCGATTGGCACAGTCAAGCTAATACGAGTCGCTCCAGTCATGGGTTTCAGCTCTGATTTCATGCCGTACGTGGGCGAGGTACCTGCAAAACCGGGCCAATTCATCCTTGGGGGGTTTTCAGGCCACGGCATGCCACTGATTTTGCTGTCAGCCAAGGGAGTGGTGCAAATGTTGCGCCACGGAAAGTCCTTTGCAGAGACAGGTATACCCTCCCTATTCCAGGCCACTAAGGAGCGTCTGGAAAACACGAAGAACTTCATCATAGACGAACACGGTATCCAGCATGTGAGGGGCAAGTTGTAGTCAAAATTAAATCTCGCTTTCTTAATATTCATAAATTACGTAGTCCATCATATTGAAATCGTTAATCTTCTCTGAAACGCTTGAACGCTTCCACCCGATCTTTTGGGGACGTCTCCACCATGGAAGCTAGGTAGTTAACAACATCTGTGGCAAAGTCGAGACCAAACTGAATCGAGCGCTTGTCACTCAGCTGGGAGTTGATAACGTGAATCTTTTATCTTCTATTTTTAAACAGTCTCTCTTTCTACGTCAAAACATGCACCAACGTAGGTTTTAACAGGGCGGCTGTTTGACGTACTTGTGTTTTCTAGCTAGAGAATGAGCTCAATAGATCGATATTCTTTTACAGAACCACTATTTCTCTTGTGCTAGAGCGGCTATTTTTTCTGTGTACTCTCTATTGTTGATAGCGTTGTAGTCGCTATTTTCGTTGCTGTTGTCGTCGTCGTCCCTCATCGTCGTCCCTCATCGTCGTCCCTCATTAAAGTCAACGAGTACACAGAAAATGTAGCCGCCCTTGTACAGGAAATTTAGGCTCTCTTCTTTAATCCTATTTGGAATAATAAATAATGATGCCCTCCGCTAACCCTGAGAGGTTATCTGCGACTACCTCCATTTCTCCATATAAATCGGAGCAAGACTCCTTCTCCCACACAGATACCCACGCACCCTTGAAACTAGTAGTGAATGGGGCGTTAGCTTGTTATGTTCTACCAAGTGCTGGAAGTGATCGTTAGCTTACCCACATTGCCGCGCACCGGCTGTATCCCAGATATGTGCGGCGCCGAACCAGACCTCACGTTCCTCCTTGGGTAACTTGTCGAGAATGTACTCGTAGGTCTCCGGCGCCGGCTTTCCCACGCCAATGGTATCGCAAGAGACGAAGTTTTCGGACGGGAAATCCTCTCCGCCCTTGGCAAGATATCCGCCCACGCGCTCGGTGTCACCGGCTGTTAGACACCAGACGGTAAATCCTGCCTTCCGGAGCTTTGAGAAGCATTCACTTAAGCCTTCTCGGGTCCTGAGTGCTCGGTACGAAGCCAGCAAGAACTCGCGGTCCTCGTCCGTCGCGAATTTACACGGCTCCTGTATACCCGCCTGCCAAAGAGTTCTGTAGAAGATGGACCGGAAGATGTCAAAGAACTTCGCGTACTTTGCTCCGGAGATCGTCATGTAGGTGTATTCCTTCTCACCCGCCTCCATCCATGCGTATCCAAACAGGCGGGGTCCCACATGTTTGGCTCTCAGACGATCACCAAGCCGAGCCTCGATAGCTTCGAAAAAAGGCCTCGTAGGAGATCAGTGTTCCTATAGAATATTAGTAATAGCAGCCATTTATATCGATGTAGTAGTCATCGTGACCAGGTATGTCACGTACCAACAACGTCGAACACGACGTGCTTGTTTGCTGGTGACATTATAAACAGTGGAAGGCGAGGACTCTGGACAATTTTCCGGCGGTGGTATAAACGACAAGAGAACCAGCCGTTTGCACCTGGTGGTTAAGACGACATGCAATTCTGGGGCCGTGTTAGTGAGAAACTGCGACAGCGGCAGGGATTTGATTTAGGGACCGCGGCAAGCTTACAGAGCATAAGATGATAAGGTTCAAAGTCAGATGTAGCGGCGAATCACTCTGATTTACTTGATTTAAATGATGTGACGTACTTAAAACATCAACTCAGTTAATCACAGGCGTTAGCCCCGGCCAGTTACCGCAGCCACAGATCGGATGGCTTATCGCGTCCTATCAGACTGGCCGGCCGCCGGCCGCCGAAGTCTGCTTCGCAACTGCCCCCCTGAGGATTCGGCATCCAGGGGTAATCGGAGAATAACGAGGAAAGTGACAAGACACACGGGGAACACCGAAGAGATCTCGGCTATGGGGAAGATGCCATCTGGGGAAAGGGAAACGGCTTCATACATTCTTCGTGAGTTCATGACCTTCACAAATGGGATCGTAGTGCGACGATTCATGACTGGGCCGATTGTTTCCCAGATAGATCGTTATTTAACGGCAAATTACCACTGGATTGTTACACCATCAATTAGCAAGATAGGTGCGTAATTGTATCGCCTCTCCTTCCGTTGAGCACAAGACGGAAAATCGCGAATCCCCAGAATGAGTAGAGTTCTCTTGACAGGTGCGTTTTCAGATCAAATGCCACCAAACTACTAATTCTGACCCTTTGACTATTTAAAGGAGGATGTGGCTTCATTGCCGCACATGTTCTAAAAACACTGCTGGATCGCGAGTATTTCGTAACTACCACGTACGGAGTGAAATAGAGGCTGATCTCTGTCTTCACGGTAGACACACGGTTACCACCACCGTCAGATCTATGAAAAAGGGAGAGCAAATTCTTGCAGCGTACAAGAACATTCCGAAAGAGAAACTGTCATATGTTATTGTCAGCAACATCGCCCGCGAAGGCGCCTTTGACCATGTGAGGCCTGTGATGACTAGATGTGTAAGCGGAATGGATCAGAACAGAAAGCTAACTTTCGCCTGAACCTGTGCAGGCAGTTCAATCCGATCCCCAATTCGACTGTGTCATCCACACTGCGTCGCCATCCCATGAGAACTTTGACGATCCCGTGACAGACCTGCTCGATCCTGCTATCAAGGGGATCATCGGGCTGCTTCGGGCAGTCAAGAATCACGCACTCCAAGTAAAGCGTGTCATAACAACCTCGTCATTTGCAGCCATCGTCAACAGTGCGTCACCACCTTCAGTATACGACGAAAATTCATGGAATCCTATAACTTGGGATGAGGCCGTGGCTGAACGCTCCCTGGCGTATCGCGGCAGCAAGGTGCGGACAGAAACTACCGTGAACATATGATGGTGGTAGTTGACAAATTTTAACCACAGAAACTCGCAGAAGAAGCGGCATGGAAGTTTGTCGAAGAGGAGAATCCCAACTTTGACTTGGTGACAATGAACTCGCCAATGGTGTATGGCCCAGTCATTCATCATCTTGAGAGCTTCGATAGCCTCAATACGTCTAACCAAAGGATTCGCGATTTCATCCAAGGAAAGATCGAGAACGATAAGCTGCCCCAAATCGGCACGTTCTTATTTACTGACGTCCGAGATCTTGAGCTGGCACTTGTGAGGGCCATGGAGGTTCCGGAGGCGGCAGGCAAACGCTTTTTTATCACCGCAGGGCACTATTCAAACAAAAGCATTGTCAACGCTATCGGGGACACACACCCGGGGCTTGCACCCAAGTTGCCTAAGAATCCGACTGATGACTTCCCCGAAGATGTATACGGCTATGATAACTCGAGGGCCCGCCAACTGCTGGGAATTGAGTTTCGGTCACTCCGGGAATGCATTGGCGATGCAACCGATTCTTTCCTCAAGTTAGGGATTGCGTAGTTGCGGATAAGGAAAGAAATCAGAGCATGAACTCTTTGACTTCCTCCACCAAGCTGCAAAAGTGACTTGACGAGTCTAGACATGGGGCTAAAGGGTTCACGTTTCGAATAGTTGTATTTGCCTAACTTGTCTGATTGCAATTGCTACTCCAATTCAAGCACGTTGATAATAGTTCTCCAAACGCTTAGATAGGCATCGCCACCTTTCCAGTGTGGCGCAAAGAGAGCAAGAATCTCGATGCATTTTATCAAATCTTTTGCGTGCGACTGTGCGGGCGTCCACTTCCTCGAGATGCCCGTCGCATTAGAACATCCTGCGATGAAAACTCTAGAGCTGGCTATGATTGGCGGGATGAAATCATGCGGCGAAGAAGCACAGGCGTGAACGGTGGAAATCAGTTCGGATGCCTGGCTCACAACTTTGCGCCTCAGGGTCTTCATGCCTTTGGCGTTTTCCTCATCAGCTTCTTGAAAACAGAACAAGCACTGCTTATGAGCAAAGCAGGCCGGGAGGAAAGAAATCCAGGTCTCTTTGGCTGCTGGGTGTTGTGTATGAAAGGTGTCGAGAAGATGCATTAGAGTTTCCACCTCGCCAACGAATGGACATCCCTGAGCTTCGTACACACGGCCTCGGCCATAAAGCTGGTCAGAGATCTGCGCATATAGATTATACAGAGTCTCGCTTTCAGAGGTTGTAGGCAATTTGGAACCACTCAGCATACTGGGTCTGCTAAAAATAGTTTGTAATGCACTGAGACTATTAGCCAGCACTACTACCGCTTCTGGAACACCTCATTCTTCTTAACCTTCGATCTTCCTACGAACTGACATTAGACGGATCTCATCGGGGCCACGGGTGTAGGTTTTGCTCATGTTGTCTTGGCCATCATCCTGTCCAGCTTGCTCCGTAATTGGGATTAGAGGAGCTTGGTGCCAGCCGAGCTGCAGACAATTTTGTATGTACTTGGCCAAACTTGGTCTTTGAACAAGTGCTATGTATTCTCATCCATGTCGTCGTCGTCCCTGTCGTCCCTGTCGTCCCTGTCGTCCCCGTCGTCCCCGTCGTCCCTTCGTCTTATATTAATACTATTCAAATGGATACTTAAAGTCATCCGCCGGAAACATTAGTCCATCATCATTCAGTTTTCAACCATCCGAGCTGTCAATTTGTTTTGCTCAGCCGAGGACTAAAGATACGCAACGCCTGTTTGATCGCTTTCGGACTTCAAATTGCATTGTACACGAATCTACTTTTCGTTGCACTGCACTCTCCCGTCGCTATTTACCTGGAGATCCGAGCAGCCAAAACATGTGCTGTCTCCCGCTCCCGCCTCGCGACAGCGGTTGTAGAAGTCGTCTCCATCGATCCTCCACCTCTTGATCATATTTTGTAGCTAATTATGCTGTTAGACCGGCTGAAATCAGGGGTTCAAGAGCTGAGCTTACATATCGGCCCTCAAATCGAGGTCCTGGGCTGTGGGCGTTCCAGGTCGTCTGCGAATCGGCCAAGTGCTCATATGGAGCTTATCATATTGTCAGTTCGTCCAATTGAAGTGAGAGATTCGCTAAAGGGCCTACCCCAAACGTAGCCAAAGCAGGCTCTCGCGGCAACCTTGGCTGTCGCTACGTGGTCAACTGGACCATTGGACCACTGCTGGCAGGCACAGTAGTCATGGGAGTCTGCCAGAACACCAGAACTGTTTGTTGTCAGCAAAGTCACTGAATCGCACTGCGGAGAGCGTACAGTAGCGTGATTAACGCGGCAAAAAACTGTAAACGCATGTTGAAACGAACGTGGGCAGCTGTTGCAGCTTGAAGCGACAGTGAATACTCGAACAAAATTGGAGCAAGTTGGATTCGTCAAACACGACCTTATGGTATGAATGCGGTTATCTTTGACTTATATCTTCGGTCCATGCGAACTGCACGATTGTAGTTGCAACGGTGATCCCGGCAACGCCGATAGGTCAAGTCCGAGTGCATGAGCGATTAACATTTGACTGTACTCAGAATAGCAAACCTTATTATATACCTCCGCGAGAGCACTGCCCCCCTTTTCTTGTCATCATTTATCTTTAATGTTGTTTCTCTATCACGTTACACTTATCATTCTCATTGAATAACCTATTAATTTGCCTAGTCATAAGGCTGTCCGGATTCCGCGGGGTATCAGTGCGACGATCAGTGGGCAAATAGAGTTTTCGCGTTCGTCCCCGTTAAGAAAAAGAAATCTCCTGAAGTCATTAATCGTGCGCACGTGCGTAATTTCCCGTCTTTACGACAACAGTCTTATTGCTCGTTGATGCATGTACATATAGCACGGGAAGTTCGCCTCTGGTCGTTCGCCTAGCGGGTTGTCGGTTGATGCTCCTCTCCACGGTCTTTTCTGTTTCACCTGTGTAGTTGACTTCACCAATATGAAAGTCTTCAACTTCTTCCTCGTCCCGATCTTCTGCGTTGCGCTTGCTGCGCCCCCACCCTCGCAGAACCAGTGCATCGCAAATACGCCAAACGTGCTAGAGTACTCCGCGCCCGATGGATCGTATGTAGTATCCTTCCAGCCATTGGCCCAGGTCCATCGCCTTGCTAACGAAACTCTCGACAGGATTGTGCAAGAAATGGGCTGCGGCCTCGCTATCCCACGAGACACCCCCGAGGCTACTGCAGCGATCGCGAAGCGCGGGTGGTTCGACACACTTCAAGTGGTGTGGATCATCACGCTTTCAGATTCGAGGGACCTCATCATCCGAACACTTCTCAGCATGTTCAACACCGACATCAAACTATTCACGGAAGTGGAGGGTATGGGTGTCACCATCGACGAGGTCTCTCAGCAAGCCAGCCAAGTCTCGTTCAAGTTGAATGCGAGAGGAACATGGGGCAACGCGTCTGCAAGGTTTGTCTACAACTACGTCAACGGCGGCATCACCACTTTCGTGCCAGGAGGCGCCCAGGATGCCAATGGGAATAATCTGACGGTCAACACTAATTACTGTCACGCCCGGCAGTAGGTTCTGCAACTTCGACTTTCTAGCTTGGCATGGGTGCCTGTTTGTAGCCTTTGGAGTTTTAGACGGCCCTTATCTCAACTTAATTCAAGTCAGATCTCTTCAGACTCAGTCGTGAATATGTTCAGGCTATTTCCACGAACATCAAGACGAGGAGGCGAGTTTTCCCATTGTTGGCATGACATGAGTCAAGTAGTCTCACCGGAGCAATGTCTTGTAACTCTTGTCAAAACTATCAGCCACTGGACCGGAAGCTCCAGCAACTGCATCGATAGAGACTACTGTCACATGGTTCTGCAATGCGCGATTGATCACGCACGAGAAAGCGTGGTGTGAGCACCAAGTCCACAGGAAGTGCCTAACATGACTGCCAGCGTCAAGCCCCAGCCTGCACCTGACTTGTGTCTTGGCACCAGGCGCACTGACTTAGGTTAATTGAAGTCGGCAGCACTATATCAACAGATGCCTCTGGACCCTCTTCGATGTCTAGGCAAGCAGTGCCGAGAAACTCAACCGTGATAAGCCCACTTGCGTGCCGCCTGCCGAGCTCACGAGTCACGCCACGACTCAGTCAATGCAACCTCGGCTACGCGCGAGATAAAAGTACGGCCTACAGCATATATTGACGTACGAGCCAAGACGATCCAAGCGGACGACTAGTCAACCATTCACCTTCCTCAACTGAAGGCTGCTGTGGCTTATCTTCGTCTATCGTTCAAGTCTCCTATCTAGAGACTGAGTCCACACGACTTGTTGGTTTCCAAGCAGGATATCTTACGGCTTCCATAATTGTATGTGTATGTTTGCGTGTGATCTTACATGATAGAGTTGCCGACAGTAAGGATCGCCCTCATCATTGAATCACAAAAGCGGCAGCCGTCATAACATCTAGTCCGTCTGGCCGCTTTGTATCTGGATTTAGCAGCTTGTTTTCATGATCGCCTGCTCAAATACGTGACATACAATACATTCAAACGCCAACCACTCATACCATGCCCACGGTCGTCAAGAAGATGCCGGCTGATTCTCCAACACCCACCTCACCCCATCAACAACAACATCCGGCTGCGTCATCTGCACAAAATGCCCACTCTCCCTCGCAAACACAATCTCGCTCCTCCGCGAAACCTTCAAAAACTCCCTCATCAGCCCCTCGCACTTCTCATCCACCGTCTCAATCAACCCCCTCACATACCTCCTCTCCTCCTCCGTCCCGTTCCCCCTCGCCACTCCCGCCGCATACAACCCGCTCCAGTCCCGGCTCCGCGTCCCCACAACCACATACACCGGCCGGTCCCCAAGAATCGGCTGCCTTCCCGCCAGCCCCTTCCTCCGCAGCGCCTCAAAACTCGCCGCGTACTCAGACTCCTCCCGCTGCGCAATCAGCTTATGCTTCTCCGTCGCCCCCGCCGCGCGAAAAACGTTCCACTCCTCCGGCGTCAACTTATGCGTCGCCTCTAACCCCCAGGCGGCGTAGACATCCACCCCGGCAGCGACTTTCCACAGCACAGGGTCGTTGACATCCAGGTCCAGCGGCGCCGTCTCGTGGTTCGCGTCCACGAGCACCAAGCCCGCGACCTGGCTCACGCCCTTGAGGGCGAAGTACTCGTGCGTGAGCACGCCCGCCCAGGAGTGTCCCACGAGGATAAGCGGGTTGGTTATGGGCGCGCGCTCGATCAGGAGGGCAAGCTCGAGCGCGATGTTCTCGGCTGTGGGGGACAGCGGGGAGGGATCTGAGTTGCGGTGGCCGGAGCGGTCGTATGTGTGGCTCCGCAGCCAGGGGGGGAGGAGGCGGACGACGGCTTGCCAGTTGAGGGCGTCGCTGGCTACGCCGGAGACGAAGAGCACGACGGGGGAGGTGGGGGTGCTGGGTTCGGGGCCGTGGGCGTAGAGGGCGAGGGAGTGCGTGCCGATTTTGACGAGGCGGCCGTTTGGGGGGAGGGTTGCGGCCATTGTTCTTGATGTTTGTGTGTTCTTGTCGAGGGGCTTCGGGTGTTCAACAGGGTCGGCCGATCAAGTCACCTGGCTTTGGAATCGACAAGCTGTTGAAGTTCCAGAGTATCGACATTTCGATAAGTGGCTTTATAAACTACCGCTTGGCGCCCTTTTGAGTACATCTTTAGCGGTGCTGTGCCGCATGCATGGTCCACAACCCCTGTCCCGGCTTACATTCGTGATTTCGTGCTTACCTTGCGTCGTCTTGCCGGTCTTCAAATCACGTAAGCAAATATATTGTATCTCGGTCAAGATATCTCCGAATATAATGGAAATCTTGGTTTGTCATTGTCGGTCTTGTGGCTCGGGGCTTCTCAGATTTTATGAATTTCCCTGGAAAGGTGACAGGATACATTGTCGCGATAGGATCGTTCGATATTTCCAGCTTCAGACATTGCATTTCCCTCTTCGTTTTCCTCGCGCATTGAATATATCATCCTGCGACTACCAGAGTTCTTTTGGGATGGACATTCATCAGCTCTACGCTGTTCCTGCTGAACTGGATCAAATCTCGAGGATCAAGTCGTCCTTCAAAGCGTCCCATGTTCAAGAATGGGGTCTGGCGATATTTTTTAGATAATAAATTCGAGATCATAGCCATTCGGCAAAACATGACGGGCATGTTTTTTTATCCAGTAATTGCTCGGAAGTATATGCGATGCCAGTTCAGTGACGGGTAACGAGAGTAGTTTCCTGGGGCTAATATCAACGCTGCACAGGTCATACCAAATCCTTTGCTCCATCTAAGGTTCTCCTTCCCTTATAAAAACGATGCACGTTTTTAAAATATGTCCTCTGTTACTTGCCAGCGCCTATGCACGCATGGAGGTGAAAACGTCTCCAACCTTGCGCGGCCCTTCTCCAACCCGCCAACTTCACCTCACCTCACCTGCGCATTCACCCCTCAACTCTCAACCTCCTTAGTCCCCGTTCCGTCCCTCCGTCTTCAACAGCGGATGGAGGAGTTTGTGGCTCAGTTGGTCAGGTCTGGCCAATGTGCTTGCGCCCTGAAGTCCTTGGCTCTTCCGTCCGCTGGGGATCTAATATGGTTATGGGTTCAACCCTGCCTTTTGTCATTTAGCAGAACTTTTTTGTTTTTGTTCGTTTTTGCTTTTCCCCCTTTCACTAGTTAAGTTAAGGTAATATTCAATCATCTGTTCTTTCGAACTTTCGTCACTTTAACCGACTGACCGACGCCTCTGCCCACGGAACCCAACCCTCCACGAAGTCGCGGAACTTACACATAACCCCGTCGGCGCGACTCGACCACGGCAAACAACCATCGTTGCACTCTTAAACACAGCAGCGACGGTCTAGATGATCAGAGTCTGAAGCCTGCCTGCCCTCTAGCATCCTCGCGAGGTACAATCCTCGAGACTACCGCATGGAGGTCAGCATAGTGCATCGTCTGGGCGACGACTAGCGAGACCGCCGCTGGCTTTTTTCGACGCCTCGCCTGCTGCCGAGGTTGGAGACCGAGGGAGGGTAGTTGCGCTGAGACTGCTGCGACGGAGAATCGGAGCCTGGTCGCTTACATCATGGATATCTTGGCCAGCGAGAATGGTACGAGTGTGGGAGCGCTTGGATGCATAACCCGAGAGTCGGTCGACAACTGAGACCAGCAAGCTAGAGGCATCAACCTCCCTGGCAAATCACTTTCGCAGACGTGCATTCTCTTGGGTCATGGTGAGGTGAAAAGATCGTAAATCTCATGTTTGCGATATACCTGTCCTGTAGTCTACATGATCTAACGATGTGCAAACAGAATACTCCAAAAAGAAAAGAGGTATCATGACGACATGACCGGCAGTGCCCAAGCGACCGCCGGCTCCGAACCCATTTGACTCCTGTAAAACGACGGACGAGAAAATATGTACCCAACGATGTGGATCCTCCAACTGTGAACGCTCCGAATGCCCCAATAAATGTGAATGGAAGATGGAATCAAAACATGCCAACATGTATCATGCAAAATATCTCTCTAAAACTTCTCCATGAAGTTCTTGCGCACAGTCCACATGCGCGCGCGTTTGCCGTACAAGAACATGGGAATCGTAGCCAGCAAGAAGATCAGCTGGATCACGCCGAGCCAGATGAAGACGCTCTTGGGCCCTTCGGCTGTGATCCAGTGGGTGACGAACAGACTGAAGACCAGCCCGTGGAAGATATTCTTGCTAAAGTTGAGCGTAACGAGGGCCTCGCCGGCGTACTGGCGGTAGCTGTCGACGCAAAAGGTGATACTCGTCGTTGAGCCGAGGGTACACCCGAAGGAGACAAGGCCAAAGAAGACGGTGGGCACAATCCAGTGGTCGCGCTCCTCCGCGGACCAGCCGAAACCCATGAGACCGATGACGGTGGTGAAGAGGACGGGGATGGCCATGACCAGACGGAACTCTGGCTCGTAGAGACCACCGTTTCGGCGCGCCATTGCCTTCACGATGACGTCTGAAACCTTGCCTGCAACGGCAGTACCGAGAATGCCCCCGATAAAAGGAGAGAAGTAGACCAGGCCTGTCTGCAAGGCGTCAAAGTTGTAGGAGGCCCGATTGCGGTAGATGAGAGCGATGGACTCAGAGACGACGATGAGCCAACCGACGGAGAGGGAGTAGACGGCAGACGACCAGAGGACAGCAGGGTAGGCGAAGAGGACAAAGGGGCGGAGCATAACCTTGAACCACTTGTCGTGGTTGAGCCGGCCATTCCAGGGTTTGAGCTGCTCCCCAAAGGAGCGCGCGGGTTGGTGGCGGAGGGTGTGCGTGTAAGCGAGGGCTTTCGGTGGTGAGTTGAGGTTTGAAGAGGGCAGCTTTTCGGCTTCCAGGGCAGGGGCTTTAGCGTAGTAGTCGGAGGGAGCAGCGGAGCTCAGGGTGCCAGAGGTGCGTGGCTCCGGGGCCGGGGAGTCGGTAGAGTCGGGCTGCTTCTCGGGGTCGACCTTGCATTCCGAAGCCAGGTCAGGGGCGAAGCCGACGTGAAGGTCCTTATGAGGGTGAGATGGTGACAGTGGCGCAGGGCTGATCGGTCTTGATACGGCTGGACTCTTCAAAACCTGAGGAACATTGTTACGGGAAGAGAGGCGATGACGGAAGCTTGGTCTTCTTGACGGCTTCCTCGACTTGGGGACCGGTGTTCTATCCCAGAAAGTCTCAGGGACGAAGAGGAACAGGAGGACACCGCAAAGAGCAACAACCATTGCCACAATCCTTTATCTGTGAGCTAGTGATACGAGAAGTCGAGGGGCAAGACTTACCAGAACACCCATCGCCAGTCCAGGCCTTGAATGATGACGGCACTGATGAGGGGGATCAAATTCTTGCCACCCAGTAGCAGCAGGGTGTAGATGCCGATGCGAAATGCACGCTCGTGTAGGAAGAAAATCTCAGCGATTGTTGCTGAGGGGAGACACTCAACCGGGCTGACTGCAACCCCCTGGAAGATTCTTGCAAGGATGAGGGAGGTGAAGTTGGGGGACAAAGCAGCCCAGATGGAGCTAACAATGAAGATGACGGCACTAAAGAGATATACAGGCCTCTTTCCGTAGAGAATAGCCGTGGGCGAAAAGACGACTGAGCCGAGACCCATGCCCATCATGTACAGACCTGTGGTCAAAGACACGGTCTCAGTCTCGATGTGGTAGTCTTCGGCAACGTTGGTGAAGCCAGCGGCGAGAATGGGCGTCATGCCTCCGCCAACCATGCAGTAGAAACCGAGAGACAACAAGGCACAGTCACGTCGCCAGGCGGGCCAGTTCAGAGGGTCATTGGCAGATTCCTCGGGCTGCGGGTTGAGGATGATGCCGTCCTTGGTGGTCTTCTTCGACGGCTCCGGTGTTGGTGCTGGCGGGGCCGAGAGGGCTGGTGATCGGCGGCCAGTAGGCGTCTCAGGCGGCTCCGGGAATCCCGTGGGAATAGACGAGTGAGACGTCCTCGCGGGCGCGTTCCGCAAGCCCAGGGGCTCATTTCGGTGAGCAGCCAGTAAAAGGACGGAGCCTGAGATGGTCAGCTGTGGTTCACATCAAACAACAACGGGACTGACTCACCAGGGACTTCAATGGTTTTGGGGTCGTTGAGAACTCCCATGCTCCATTTGGGAATATTGACTTGCTCGTCGTCGGAGCCCTCAGATCCGTCTGTTTGACCGGGCTTGTTTCCGAAGACGCCGCCGAAGCGGCTCTTCCATGTTAGAATGCCGGCCATATGGGCGCGGTGTGAAGTGATTTCGGCTGAATGTGTGAAGTTGCCAAGGCGGGATGGTAGTCAGGTCTGCAGGCGGCCAAGCTAGGGTGAGTCTGTGGTCGCAGAGATGTGTTTGATGAGAAGATCGAAGGCTGCAGGAGAGGAGGATAGGCGAGCTGGATATACAAAAAGTGGTAGGGCTGTGATGTCAAGTTCGGTTCATGGCTTCCGGCTCAGACGTGCGCGGGAAGATGAGATAAGGTTGCAGGAACACACGGACGCGGAAGATGGCAATTTTCAAAGCCGCACCAAATAGGAGATGGGATTGCTGGATGGCTCCGCGGAGATGACAGGAGGCTGAACGGTCGGACTCGAGAAGTGTTGAGGATTGCGAAAAAAGCAGATGCACAAGCGCGGCGAGATGAAGATAAAATGGTGTTGAGGTAAAGTTGCAGCGAGGCAGGCCGGGGATGAAAATAGCGGTGGACGCCGACAAGGTGATGGAAATATTGACCGGGGCCTGGAGTAGGCAGTAAGGTAGATGAACCTAACCGCAAGCAACGGGACCTGGATGGCGGGGGTGACAGATTGCAACAGCGATGGTGTTGTTCTTGGGCCGTGCAGAGCGATGGCGTCAGATGGCCAGCGCGCCGTTTGATTGTGATTAAGTGATGGCTGGAATTAGCGTCTCAAATAGGAGCAGGCGACCATGAGATCAAGGATGGACCTTTGGCTTTATGGCAAAACCAAGCGGGTGCGGGCGAGCTGAACGTTATGCCAGGCTTGGGGCTGGGAGACTGGAGAACGACCGCGGAGAAGACATGGGACGAGAGGAAGAAAGGAGGCCGACGAGGTCAGGATTGGCCGGCCACCGAGTCAAGCGTGTCTTGAGAATGTCGAGCCTGGTCAGATTGAACCCTTGCCTTTTCTTGGACGGCCTGGAGAAAGATACGGAATTGATGCCCAGACTGTCGGCTGGTGGGGATTTCTGTCGTGTTCTGTGCTTGTGTCTGTGCTCTCGAGCGTTGGATGCGTCGTTGGCGCTGCGCCTCGGGCGGGTTCCGTGGGGTATTATGACCAGGTTTGGGAGGGAATATGGCAGAGAAGGCTGTCCAGTGGATAGATGCGACTGACTGCTCGACGGGCAGGTGACTCGATGGCGGCTCCGAAATGGATGTCCAAGACTCCAGGAAGTAGCGTCGTCTGGGGTGGTGCAGGCTAGCTGCCGTAGCGTAGCGTGTTCCAAGGTGAGCCCATGTGCTCTGTGTGTGTATCCGTGTATTCGTAAAGGAAGGCGTGGGATGATTGTTGGGCACATGCCAGCAATGTTGATGTTGCATTTGTGATGTCGGCGCCAGATCCAGGAAGGACCCCTAAAAGCGAGGCTAAACCCCGTGGCCCACCGTCCAGTCCAGAGTGCAGGTGCAGACGTGGGTGCAGGTGCAGGTGCAGGGCAGGTGCACCGCACCCGCGCACTCGCTCCTTCTCCACGTTTCTCTTCCCTGACACTGGACCTCGCCTTCCATGTCTGCGCTGCATCGATTGCTCTGTGCTGCAGGCTGCCCTCACTTCCCCACCTGTTTGGCGAGTCTTCTTCACATTGTGGACTGGAATGCAGATTGGAAAACGGCATGTGGCGAGGCGGTGACCGTCGACACTACGGTCTGTCCTTACGGATAGGCACCCAAACGATGGATCTGTCCAAGTCAACCACAGACCGCAGTCAGAGCACAAAAGAAAGCGCCGACGTCGCCGCACCGAGATGGTGTCATGTCCATTTCACGGTGTCTCCGCGGCTCTCAACGCGATGCGGCGCATGTCGCTGGAAATAAGACAAAGCAATTTACCTCGAGTAGCTGGGGGCAGATAGAGTGAAGATGAAGCTGAAGCGCCGCAAGAGGCCCCCAAGCAGCCTCCAAGCAGGCCCCCCCAGGTCTGGGCGCCAAGGTTGCGAGGCCTTGACACGCGCTCCCATCTTTGAGTCTTTCTCTCTCTGACCGCCCGCTTACCGCAGTTGCCGTCAATCAAAAAAAAAAAAAAAAAGAGGCAACACCCCTGCACCATGTGCTTATGTCATACATCAGCGCAACACCTCGACGTCATCGTGCACGAAAGGGGCTCACTCCCCACATTCCAACCGCACCTTTCCCAATGGGGACTGCCGGAATTTAAGCGTGACCGCATCGAAGGAATGCGAGGAAAGCAAAACACTGGCTGCTTCCTCGCGCATCTCCATCGCATTCTGCAGATGACGGCTGACTTGCAGTTGTAGGACTGACTGACTGGGCAAGTGGATGAGGACCAAAAGCAAGACGACGTATTTTGGCTCCAATAATACCTGAACCACCGCTCTGGAATCCTCCGCGCTACCTGCGTGTACAGACGTCTCACAGGTCCGTTGTCACTGGAACATCTGCCTTGTTTTTTCCCTTGCAACACTGCACCAACACACACACGCGCATACACACACACATGCACACAAACACACATACACATACAAACCACGACTCGTATCCCGCTTCTTCTTCCCAAGAAACCTATCGCATATCACCAGCATTCACCTACTTCCACCGCATCACGGGATACCACAACAACGTTTTCGACGACGTCAGTCAGCAGCAGACTGCATGCATAGGAGCAGACTAGGTATCCTCGCTCACGATACGCGATGCAACTCTTGAGACACCCAGCCCGCTCCGCCCTCCGGGCCTGCCACCGCCCTCCCGCCAATGGCGTCCGCCTCCCGCCCCCCAACCACTCCGTCGCCGCCGTCGCCGCCGTCGCCGCTGCTTTTTCAACGTCGTCCATTAGGCCGGCCAAGAACCAGATCTACACTTCGTAAGTGGGCCCCCTGCATGTTGCTGCTGCCTTCCATGCTGCTTCCCTCACCGCGCACTTGTCTTGTCAAAAATGCTAATCGGCGCCCTTAGCGTACGCCGACCTGACGACTTCCACACCTACCAGCTGCTCTCGTCGTCTGCAAGGACACCGCTGATAACGCTGTGGACCACATCGTGGTGCGGGACGTGTCGAGTCGTCGCACCGTTGATCCGATCCATCGTCGAAGCGGGCGTCGGCGAGGCAGAAGGCGGTGTCGCATACTGCACCGTTGAGTTCGACGCGCCCGACGTCATGAGCGGCGGCCTCGGCATGACCTACATGATCTCCTCCATCCCCACGCTCCTCAGCTTCGACAACCAGGAGGCACAGATTCAGACCAAGGTCCACGACGCGAAGAAGCTCGCAGACCGCGCTTTTCTCGAGGAATGGATCAGGACGGAGGCACGGCGGCACGGCCAGCGCGGGGGCGGGGGTGGGGGATCCGGCGGCGTCTTCGGAGGGCTGTTCGGAGGTTTCAAGTGATCCGGAGCCGGACATCATCAAGCACCTCAACCCAAACTTCGAGGTTTGCCGTCAAACGGACATGAGTCATCCAAGCGGAAACGTTATTCATTCGTCGCTGACTAAAATTGCAATACAACTCGATACACAATTCCAGTATCATCAAGGCGTGTAGAACACCTCCTCAACAGGCTTCCACCATGAAGGCGCGTCAACATCCTCGCTGCTGACGGCGCCGGGGACGACCGACTCCTGCCAACCGTCTGTCATGGCCCACCACTCGCGGACCTTGGGGTTCTCGCGCATCTTCTCCATGTCTCCGGCGTAGTCGTAGCCGACGTACTTGAACGACGCGAACAGGATGCGGGACTCAGGGTCGTGGAAGATGCTGTCTGTGGGATGTGTCAGTCCAGGCTTGCTTGCCGCCGGCAACAGGGGCGATTGGGGAAACGGCCAAACGCACAGTCAACAATGTTGCACTCCTTGATCTGCTTGAGCACCTCGGGCCAGACGGCGGCGTGGACCTCCTTGTACTTGTCAATGAACTCGGGCTTGAGCTTCACGATCTGGGCGAAGCGGCGGCCGGGGTTCTTCTGCCTGGTAGAGACCGGCGACGGTGTAGCCTCCGCCTCGGGAGAGCTGCCGCCCGCGGAGGGAGAGGCGCGCTTGTGGGACCACATGTTGCAGGTGAGGGTGAAGTTTTTTTCGAGATTCTGGTGAAATGCGTTCGTCAATGGAAGAAGGCACGCAAGTTTTTCGTCAGGATCGTGAGAAAATGTGCTCGGCGGAGGGCTGGCTGGTGTCTCGTGGACTTCGGCGTTCGGACCTGTCGAATATGGAAGCGGGCGGTCCTGCTTAGAGCCGATCAGCGGGGTGTGTTCGTGGCCGCGCCCAGGCCAGCGCAGCAAAAAGCTCCAGCCGCTGCGTGACAGGTGGGGGAGGCAGGCAAGAGACGGACGTAAAGCGCACTCGGGGGAAGAATGTCGCGAGGCGGGGATGGCGAGGGGTAAACGGTGCGGGCTGCGGGGATCGGATTGGGGGGATTTGTTTTGTCCAGCGAGGGCAGGTCTACACGATTGTGATCCCCGATGGGATTCTTGCAGCTCAAAACATTAAAAAGAACGACGCAAAAACAACTGCTCACACTTGGTTTCTGCTAGCACACCTTTTTGTTATGGATAACCCCGTCAAGGCAAGTGAAGGTGGATGATGATGAATGTAGCAGGGCACGCGCGGCGCAGAAAGCTGCTCTTAAATGCACGTCGGGAATATGCACTCTTTTCCCCACGCGATACCGCCGAGCTCTCTGATCCTCGCCAATGGCAGTCGCGCGATGCGGTCGTACGGTCGGTCTGCTGCAGAATTTGGGGCTGCAGGCTGTGATTGAGAGGGAAGTATGCTGGTTCGTGGGCACACGGGAAGCTCGGAAAGGTGGCAGCAGGCAGGCCTGTACAGCGACCGATGACGGGCTTCTTATACCCTCAACCGCGCGGCCAATTCATCATCCTTTCCTCGAATCCCGTTCATGTAGGGTTTCCTGCGAGAGCAAAGCTCCGGTGGCCGGTGGTCCGCTGAGTCTGTTTGCTGAGGTGACGCCGCACCGTCTGAACTTGGGGTCACTGCGCTGCGACTGCCGCTGGCGGGAGGCACACCGACCGAGTTACCTTAGGTAGGTACAGTTCACGGCGGCGGCCTAATCGCGAAAGGCCATGCCTGAATTAGGTCATGTTTGCAGGTCGGGGAGCTGTGGGCACTTAGGCCTCTGCGATGCGAGGGTGAGCTTCTGCGTGGAAGACGCTGTGTTGGGCCGTCGGTTCATAGGTAGAGCTAGCTATCTGTTCCTCCACCTCGCTTGTTGTTGCGTAGCTAGGTAGGTAGGTACCCAGTCCGATCGGTGTTCCGGCGCTCGGGTTGCGAGCGAGGACACTGGACACTGGAAAAGGTCGAGACCCCCGCGACCCCTGGCGAACACCCCCACCCCTCCGCCCGAAATTCCCGCTTTTAGCCTGATGGGTGGCTTGCTTTTTTTTCCCCTTTCCTTCAGCGATTGTGGCGGTTTACGAGAGTTTGCAAAGATGGAATTGGGGAATTGGGGGAGTTGCCGAATATGATGTGATTGATTCACTTGTTGGGCAGGAAGGCGTTTTTTGGGGTTCTGGTTCGGGATCCCTGGATGCCGGTGTGGTTGTTCGTACCGAATGACTGGGCCGCGGCGGCGGGGAGAGAGTGGAGGGTGGGGGTAGTGTTTGGTGGTCGATGTATGGCGAATCGGGAGGGGTGCCGGTCGGTGAGGGATCGTGGGTGGTAGACGAGGTGAGTTGATGAGGTAATAGGCAGAGCGGTTCTGCCAGATGAATCCGATAGATTATTTGCGTTTCCCTCACGATGCCCTCTGGTCCAGGGAGTCGCATCATCTGTAGGGTCTTTCGTCGTGTCTATCATGACCAGCTTGTGATGTGTATTGTGGTGAACAAGCCCTTGTCGTTGTATGTCTGCGACCGGCTGAACGAGGATTCTAGACCGTGAGATGAGTTACGTCGCTAACCGTAGGTTCTCAAGCCTCATTGATAGTTGTTCCGTGATCCAGGTGTATTTGTCATCGTGATCTCCATCGTCCTCGTCGGCCGGCCTTCGCTAACCCTCATCATCACGTATCTTCCTTCATCCGTGAACCCGGTTTGATGAATATCGACGGTAATGAGCCGACTTTCTGATATGATGAAGCTCAAACCTTCGTAAGTATCCTCACATGTATTCTTATTCTCTCTGGAACATAGTCTCGGGCAGATGGCGGGATCAAAGGTGTCTTGGTCGGCGCATCAGCTTGACGCTGCCCTATCTTCGAGCCCGGTTATAGGTAATATGTGGTGCCATCCACCAGCGTACTCAAGATACATTGAGCCGAACGTCGGAAGGAAATCTGATTTGCGGTGCAGAGGCTGTGGTATAACAGGGGCGTGTTGAGGGCATCGGCGTGAAGCGTGTCTCCTGAAGACGAAGACGAGAGCTCTGCGGGCAGAAGAAGGGTGGAAAATAGAGCCTTTCTTATTGATTGTATCCTGTGGTATGACATCTAGTTCAACTTCTGGTCGCGAACTGCATGGAAGATGTACTTGCCGTTCTGTTCTGAGGTGAGATGCTGCATAGGTGTGTTGTATGGCCCAGGCAGATCGATGCGAGAAACCCTTGTGTTGAGCCAGAGGGTAGGAAAGCATATAAGTCAAGTTCTGGCATTGTGATGAGAGTTCATAAAGCATAGTTTTTAAAAGAGTTGATGTAAACCTGATCGTGGTGAGTGACGTTGTGGTTGAAAGTCTGACAATTTAAACACTTCTTGGTCAAAATACAACTAACCACAAAATGAAAGGAAAAAAACACAAACATACACCAAGACCTCGAACATTCATTAATTTCGTCCAAAACTCATACTTAGACAGAAAAATTTCATATCCTCAGCGGTTTCACTAATAAACTGCTTCGTGTCGCTTGCTTTTCCAGGCCAACCGTCGGGTGTCATCTCTTCAACACCCCTCATCCACGCCATACACTATACCGCGACCATCTAACTTCCCACTGCAGTGTATCACTTCATTATAAACACACGTAAAAGCATATCAAATAGACTTCTAAACAATACATTCAGTCGAGCTCCTAGTTATTCCCCCTTCTGCAGCCTCACTTATCCGCCGCGCAGACGTCGGGCATCGGACTGACTAGCCCCACACCAGCCCCGTCCCCCTGCAGCTCTAGCATCTCGCCTCCATATTCGCTTCCCCGGCGTTGGCGTCCATCGCTCATCACGAGTCATCGCGCCGATGGTTTAGTGGTAAAATTCTCCGTTGCCATCCAGCAGCGTCGGGGAGCCGGGGGTTCGATTCCCCCTCGGCGCATCTTTTTGGATTTTGCGGCTGTGGGTGGTCGTGGTTTGACTCGGGAACTGGATTTTTGCTGTTTTCTGTGTGTGGAGAGACCCTCTGCCTCCGCATATCTTCAGGTGAGTGGAGTGGGTGTGAATAAATGAGAGCTTTTGCGTCTATAGGAGTAAAGATACAAGCTGCAGCCCTAGGTGGGAGTGATATTTCTGCATCGCATGATGACGAAGATCATCACAGGATGACATTCATCGCTTAGTTATCTGACAGCGTGGATGGAGATGGGTTGAAGAGCAGCTCACCTCTTAACGTTATGCTGGTCCCTCACTGTAGTTCCTTTCACAGGATGCAAATAGCCACTGACCTCTAATTACTTCCTAGAGTCCGTGGATAACAAAGCTACGGTCAGACTTTATCTCTTGGCAAATCAAATAACGAAAGACAACCATACATACATACATCACCGACCCTCCCTTCTCATTAGTATCCTCACACTTTCACTCTAGTAATGCCGAACTCATCTAGTATAACCCATCGAATGAGAGCAAATGCAGACGTCTGACATCCTAATCAGACGACTCCCGCTATTCAAAGTGCAAACCCATCCAAGCTGGAAGATACTCCACAGCCCCGTTGTTCATCGGCCCCGTCGTCCGCACGATGTGCCCTCGCTTCTTAATCTCATCCACCGAGTGACCGATCACAACAAGTCGTCTTCGTGGCTCAGTCGGTAGAGCGTTGGTCTCATATCATTCAATATGACTCTGTGATCAGACAGAGATATCCAAAGGTCGAGAGTTCGAGCCTCTCCGAGGACAATCTTTTGCTGGTGGCGGCGAACCGTCCATTTCTTTTTTCCTGTGCGTGGGCTTGGAGGGCCCATGTCATGGCGGGGTACGTTGCGGACGGCGCGGTCAGATTGGCACCGGGACATGCAAAAACTGCGTAAAGATGTGATCGGATGTTGTCTTGATTTTTCAATGTCTTGATAGAATGCCATCAAGCTCTCACCTCATTTTACATACACCAGCAAGCCTAGTCCGCGTTTTCAACCTCTTTGACAGTGCCCCGCACCCCGCGCACTGAGTGCAGCGTGCTTTCCAGCGACCCCACCATCAGCCACAGCAGCGCAAAACACCACCACTCACTCATCACTCACTTACAGCCTGATATTCACATCTCAAATCTTAGACGAACACCCCTTCATCCAATCTCTTGACTCACCTCACATACACTCCCTCAAAATGGCAACGAGGATACCGCACCCCCTGGAGCCCTACCTCGCCCTCCCGCCGGAGTGCGCGCAGATCCTGCTCACCAGCGTCCTCGGCGCCAGCACGAACTGGCTCGTCCTGCGGTACCTTTACTCCTACCTCCGCCGCCCGACAGAGGACGCGCCCGCTGAAGACACGCGCGTGGTCCTGGTCAGCTTCATGCGGGACTTTGCCTTCTGGAAAGAGGGCGCGGGCAGATTGGTGCGTCTCCTATCCTTTGAGATTCTGATATACTACCGCGAAGGGACAAGCAACAAGTCTAACTGTACAAAACCATAACAGGGCCTCGACCTCGAAACCCTCGGGCGCAGCGGGAAATTCGTCTTCGTCGACGGGCTGAGCGGGCTCTTCTCCAAAACCGCGCCGCCTCCGACCAAGGGCCGGAGGACGCTCCGCGGCGCGAAGATACCCGACGTCCAGCGCGAGCTCGAGGCGGCGGTCGCGGACGTGAGCGGCGGCGGCGGCAAGGTGGTTTTGGTGGTCGACCAGCCTGATTTCCTCCTCGCCGCGACCGGGGAGGAGGTCGGCGGGCTGGTGGTGAAGAACATGCTGCTCGATTTACAAGAGGTAAGGGCCCAACCACTGTCTTCTGGATGAGTCACGCTGACGCGGCGAGCAGAAGGTGCACGCCTCGATTGTGACCGTTGCGGCGGACGAGCCGCTCGTTGGCGCGCAGGCGACGACGTTGGAGAAGGAGCATGCGAGCTTCGTGCTGGGGCTGGCGCACGCTGCGGAGATGGTGGTTGGGTTGAGGCTGTTGGACACCGGGACGGCGAGGGATGTGAGTGGTGTTTTGAGGGTCACAGCGGGAGGGGATGGGGAGAGGACGGTTGAGGAGGCGGAGCTGCTGTACTTTGTGGGTGGTGACGGCAGCGTCAAGGTGTTTGGACGGGGGCAGTAAGGTTGGGTGGCTGGGTTTGAAAGATGATATCCAACGATCTTACGAGATTCAGACATACGCGAAGGGAACACAAATAGATGGTGGGAAGAGCATAAGCGACAATGGTTCAGCATCACATTTAAGGCAACCTGGAGCATGCACATGAGAATTCCATTGGGATTAGCATCACGCAGGATCGTAGTCGCGTGGGATCACGCCAACAAGCAGCCAGAGGCTGGCTCTCCATGATCCAGATTCCATGCCAGACCTGTTTCCCCATACGCCCACACGAGAGGTATCAAACGCATCAAACACCCGTTGCCAAAATGGCTCGTTTGGTTCATGATTTGTCTTTTTGTCTTGAACTTGTCTGGCCTTCGCTTGGGCAACCAAGCAGCGGAGCGCGAGGGGGAGAACGCATGAGGGTGAAAAAAGACAAAAATATTGTTGATGCTTTCTCTTCTCGTTGGTAAAAGAATTCGTTTCCCAGAAGCCCATATCCCGTTGCGAACTGTGCCGTGCGTGGGAATTGATCCGTTTTTATCAGCTCACGCCTTTTTGCTCCCCCCCTTGATTGCCCGAATGCACAGATACCCCCATGTCGACACCCTTTACATTCCCATCGTCGAAGAAGTTAACGCATCGAATAAACCGCTCGGAGGAAAAAAGGTTTATGGTTCTTCGTTTAAGCCGAGGCGGGGACGGTAGAGCCCTTGGGGACGCCGGACTGGAAGCCGTTCTTGAAGCGGCGGGAGACGTCCTTCATGTAGCGCATGCGGCCGGTACCGTTGGTCTTTCTGCGCTTGGCCTTCTCGGACCAGTTGTCTGCATTGGTTCCTACGTCAGCATATCCGTCCTCGGTGGTTGGGGGTTCTTTGTTGATGATTGAATGAGGGAATCTCGAATGGTGGTATTTCGGAGGCGTCGTCGGGGATTGTGTGGGAAAAAAAACGTACACTTGCGGGTCTTGGCCGAGGGGTAACCGCAGGAAGAGCAGGTGTGCTTCTGGACGTGAAGAGAGCGGCGACCTAAACATCTCATCAGCTTGGACGTCGTCGGAATTTCGTGGGAGGAGTCGCGTTCCTCCCCCGACTCGTTGGTTTCGACTTACCGCAGCGACGGCACAGAACGTGCGTCTTGTTGTGTCTCTTACCAAACGAGGAGGTACCCTTCGCTGCAGACGACTGTTAGCATTTCCGTCCCATCGCGAAATAAACACGAAACATCGTCTGGCTCGTTCGATGCCGATTGCAACGACGACAACGACGGCAATCGCAGGGCGTCACGTACTCATCTTGGCGGTATTCGGTGGTCGACGATGGTGGTGCTGTGGTTGCTGGTGCGGTTAGTTGGTTTGCGGAGGAATCTTGAGAAGCGTCTCGCGGTGTCAAAATTTCGAGACCCTAGCCGAGCGCACACAATTTGGTCGACTGGGGCTTTTTTGCGGTCCTCGGGCGGCAGAACCTCGGGTGGATGCTGGAGTCACATGACCCGGGCTTCGCGATAGGTGGTGAAGGTTGTGGCCAATCAGCAAGTTTTTGGGCGGCGCATGGGCCACTACATGATTTTGAGGGGGCGGCAATGCAGGTGCGTCGACGCGCATAGTGAGTTTTGTCACTGTGAACTTGGTGGAAGGCATAAATGTTGCGAGCCTTGAATCAATTCGATTGTCTTTACTCCAGCCAACGCCGTCCATTCCGAGCATTCCAGGTTGCCTCGCGGGTATACGAAAAATCATGACATCGTCCACCAATTAACCAAAGACGCATAACACTGCTGCTCACCCCTGAATATCCAGCATCTGCTTGAGTACCGCCTCACTGGCTCTCAACCACCGACCCCGCTCCTCAAGGTCATCTTCATCACCGCCTGCGCCCTCTTTTCTCCTCCGCGCTTCTTTCGCCGCGGCCTTGCTGTTCTGCCTCTTGACCTCTAGTGGTTGCAACTCCGCCTGCAATCTCTCCATCTCCTTTCTCTTCCTCGGCACCCTGGCCTGCAACTGCTCCAACCCGCGGTCCAGCTGCTGCTGCTGCCTCTTCTTCTCGTCGACCAGCTCGAGCGTCTTGGCCAATGGCAAGTTCATCTGCGGACTCTGCCCCGGCGCCTGTGACTCCTTCAACTCCGCGACCTTTTCCTCCAACTCGAGAATCTTGTCCGGTAGCTCCTTAAGCTTCGCCGTGTCCAGCTGCACGCCCTCGTACCGCTTGGCGAGCTCCTTGCCCTTCTTCTCCAGCTCCGTCACCATGTCCGCCACCTCGACCTTGAGTGCCTTGAGCTGCGCCTTGGCCTCGAGGTTCGCCTTCTCTAGCTCGAGGTTCTCCTGCGGCGTGACGATCACGGGCGGGTCGCCGACGATGGCGCGGATGAACTTTTCTTTGGTCACCTGCTCGACGTAGGAGAAACGCAGCTTGGCGAAGAGCTCCTTGTAGTGCGCCAGGTCGGCGTCGAGGCTGTCTGGCGTCGTCGCATCCTGCGAGGCGTTGGATGCATCCGAGGTTCGTTGTCGTGATTCTTGCGTGCCCGCGCTGGATATGGGTTCGCTGAGCTTGATGATTGAGATTTCGTGGTTTTCGTTGAGGTCTTCGATCTTGCGCAGAACCTGCGCCGCTTTTGTCGCGTCCATTGTGAAAGTTCCGAGACTGAACGCGATCTTTTTGCAATTCGTGTGTCGCGTATGAAGGGACGAACTCCTGAATCGTAAGGTTGCTGGCGCTGTCCGACAGGATGCAGGGTCCAGTGTGTGGTGACGTTTGTTTACTTGCGTCCGAAATGGGAAACGCACCGGCCAGGTCTCTTATCGTTATCGCTATCGGATAATGCTCTTGTCGTCCTGCACGGCCACCCCCATCGGAAACTCATCCAACTGGTCTTTCTCCATTGACTCTTGCTCTGTCGATCAATCTCCGGTCCGCCACAGTTTGCGACAACGTCTTGCTCCATCTCAACGCAACCCCGCAGCCATTCCGAATCGCTTCAAGCAGTTGCCTTATTGAACACATCGTTTGCCCATACACCTTGCCGACTTCGGAAGTACGCAGCTGGTGGCTTAAGCTCACGTCATCCGTCTACTTAAACGCTTGCAACCTTACCATACGCTCGATGCTACCACCACCTTCCTGAATCGCGCCATAGTCGGAAGGGTCGCGATAAGACCACGCTCTCTGGACTGGCTATGGAAAGAACGTCCGCCGCGATGACGAACGATACCGTACTCACCGACGACTACGTCGCCGAGCTCCTCGCAAAGGAAGCAAACGACTGCTCGCTGAAATACTCGAGCATGGGCATGGAGGCGTTCCGCTCCGACAAGAAGTACGTCCCACCAGCCCGCGACTGAACATACCCGTGGTCCTAACCCCGACAGACCGGCAAACATGCCCAAGCCCAACACCCGCTTCCTGCGGCACATCATCAAGGACACCAACACGCACAACAAGAACCTCCTCGCCAAGGAGGCCGCCGAGTCACAAGCACGGCTGAAGAACCTCGAGCACGCCGAGGAGAAGGAGCGACGGAAGCGCGCCGGCCCGCAGGACATCCGCAAGCGACAGATGGGCGACATCAAGGCGATTCTCGGCGGGCACAAGGAGAAATCTGTACGGGCGGACGAGCGGTCGCATAAGAAGGACGGCTCGCCGCCGCGCAGACGGCACAGGGACAGGAGGAGCGAGTCGCCCGAGCGTGGGGGCCGGAGACATCACCGCAGCAGGGACGAGTCGGACTCTGAGCGCGAGGAACGCCGGAGGCACAAGAGCAGCCGGCGGAGATCGCGCTCGCCTGACGACAAGTCTAGGAGGCATCGTCACAGGTCGCCTCTCGGCAGCGGCAAGGGCAAAGACGGAGATGGCGAGGATCTGATGTCAGCGAGTCACCGCACGAGGAGAGAACGGAGCAGGGAGCGGACGGAGTTCTCGATCAAAGGCAGCAGCCGGCGCGCGGCGCAGAGGCAGGATTCCGCCGCTGTGTCGGACTCGGATCCGCTCGACGAGTTCATCGGCCCCGCACCGCCGGAGCCTGTACGATCACGCGGCCGCGGCGCAGCGTCAGCATTGTCCGGCATCGACAAGCGCTTCGAAGCGGACTACGACCCGAAGATGGACGTGGAGATGGAGGATACAGCCGGCGCCGGCGCGGAGAACTGGGACGACGCCGTGGAGGCCTTTAGGGATAGGCAGAAGTGGCGGCAGAACCAGGAGCAGCGGATGCGGGCGGCCGGGTACGGCGAGGACATGATCAAGAAGTGGCGGACGGGCGAGCAGAAGGACGAGAAGGACGTGCGATGGGCCAAGGCCGGGGAGAAGAGGGAGTGGGATCGCGGCAAAGAGGGCGGGATAAGCGGGCTGTTTTCCGAGTTTAACTGACGGGAGCACCCTTTGGTTGGCCTCTCTTGCGACGTGGGATAGGATCGTACTTCTGCTATGGCGTGGTGTTCGCGGGGCGCATGTTTGGTTACATCATGACAGGGCGGCATTTCTTGCATATTGGATCGGCCTCAAGTTGAAATGATTTATATTTGTGATTAATGATTTTTTGTAGTCGAAAAAGGCATCTAGCGACGATATGGGAGTTTAGGGTGGTGTTCCCGCTGTGGGTGTCTCTGCTTGAGATAGACTTGGTTCGAGGACTAATTGAACCTGTAAGACGAGGGCATTTCTCACGATATCAAAGAATTGCTGGAGTCCATGGAGTTCTGGTGTTGTGTATGAGCGGCCGTGGGCAACATTGATGAAAATACCACCTTTCCACGAAGATAGTCTTCCTTCCGCATCTTTCAAGATTATTGCAGCCCAATTTCAACTCGAATCATAGTGCCGTAAAGAACGGCAACAGCCACTCAACACGATCCCGCCCGAGCGCGTGAGAACATCAGAATACTTCCATCTTTGGCGCCGACCCAATTCGAAGAATCATACCTCGAATGACTGAAAGATGGAAAGCCGATTCCTATCATGGCGAGACTGGCGTATTCCTGGATTAAGGAGATACACAAGACTGAAGAGCACCAGTTCTGGCTTTGATGA